AGCGCACCTTGATTGGTGCAGCCTTGTGGGAGTCCTGCGAGATCTCGATGACTTCGCCACGCTGGAGCTTGCACTTTGGAGGAGCCAGGAAGACGGTCATGCCAGTTCGTAACACCGACGGATCCACGACATCCGACTGTGGATCCACACCTGATTGTCCACATGGGGCCGTTGCGCTTGAGGCGGTATGTCGGTTGCCTGCTGCAGCTGCAGCACCGATTCCCGGAGATCCCCTAGAGCTGTTGCCTTGCCCAGACGGCTCGCTCTCAAATTCGCACGTATTGCCATGCGCTGTCGAGGATCCGGCCTTTAGCTTAGGATGTGTGCTCCCGTGGGTCGCCTGACCATCGTCATCATGAGGTTCATATCGTGCAACAGATGACATCCCCGGTGGGCCTTCGACGGTGCTTGCCGTCGCAGGTGTTTGCAAGGGAATGCTTGCCGAGCTTTCTGCATGGTGCTCAAGCGGCTCGACATCAGTTGGCATCAACTCGTCTTCAAGGCTACACCACTCCTGTGCACAACGAAAAAGTGGCTTGCCCATGTGCCATGCCTCCTGCTGTCGACCATGAAACAGTATGCCTGCACCACCGGTTGTTGTGTCCTTAGCACGAAACCGACTTGCCACCTTGGGGTCGGTTGGAGCGAATAGGTGGCACGGGGCACGAATTGTAGTGTGCCCCCAAATGCCTTGAAGCATTCTCAAGACAGTGGCGCGACGGCTGCCACCGACCACATCCAACGTGCTGCCATGTACCACAACCTGGCTCGACCGTGAGAACGACATGGATCACTTAACACTGAGGCAGGCCCACGCACTCCCTGGAACTCTCCTGTCAAGTTCCTGCCTCAAGAGGATCGATCTCCTCGACTCGCTGGCGCCCCGTTGCCAAGTCGATGAAAAGCTCGAACATAGAACGATCCTCACATCGCGGGTACGACAACGAAGGCAAATGCCCGAACACTGCCGCTCGCAACTGCAACCCCTATTCCGCGGATGCTTCTCCTAAAATGAGATAAAGCTTTCGACAAAAGGCGAAAACGGTTGGCATTCTCTGGGGGGCAGGACAACAGCACCCATGTCCTTGAATGCACCAGACGTGAAGACCATCTGGCCATGGATCTTCCCCTGTGCCCATCGCAGACACAGCACGGGAATGAAGACTTTGGGCCTCGTTCCGAGTTCTCGCGGAACGGGAAATTCCCGCCTTGGTTGGTCTTCACAGCCCATCGTCTTGCAACAACGAGAGTCAGCAAGAAGGACGTACATGCAATGAGATGCAAACTCTGACACCAAGATTCTGAAAGTCGATCGCATCGGCCACGAATGGTGGTAGCCGTTGTGCAATTCCTTCCACTGCCTCTGACGATGATGCTTGCACAGGAGACGCGGTTTCTGCATCTGAAGTTGTCGCCTCCTGTAGCTTGGCATGATGCTTTAAAATAATGCGGCCGTGTGCTTGCTTAACGGACATCTCCGCCAAGTCTGCTTTCAACTCCTCCGTCGTCGTCTGGGATAAGATGTTCCTGCTGTCAAGCCCCCTTTCCTCGAACTTGCTTGCATAAATGCCTAAGACGGCATCTATGGAAGCTAGCCATTGATGGATCCATGGCACTGCCGGCTTCGATTCCATGGGTGCTCCTGCAACGACGCCGCCGTCTGGCCAGCCAATATGCAATAAGATGCTACCCAGCCCTCCTTCTGTGAGCAAATAAGAGCGGGCGAATAAGCTGCAACATGTACACCCAAAGGCACAGCTGCAGCTCCGTTTAAAATCCTAGCTGCACCCAGCGAACGATCAAGTTCAACTCAAGTCGGCCAGCTCGAATGTGGATTCTGCTTCGCTCTCCAGTCGGACTCAAACGGATGACTTAGGAATGCAACAAACCATAGCAAAAACACGTGGATGATCGTGGATGCAAAAACGTAAGACACTCAGTTTTGGATCCTTGCTGCAAGATCTGCAGCTTCCAAGCTCTGCAAGGATGTCTGCCGGTCCGACGCCCATCTTCGGCCCTTTCTGAGTGAGGCCTTTGGGAAAACTTGAAAACCAGTAGAATAAATCGATTGAGGCACCCGGTCAACAGTAAGCGTATCACACCGAAATCTTGTCTTGGGCTAGAGTCTAGAGATAGCATGAATGAAAGCTTCATCCGCGTGATGCGCCCATGTGACAGCAGCAAGAAGAGCCAAGCCTCTTCACACTACACCGCTCTGTCCGGGGAATGATCATTCAAGGAATTTCCGGAGAGAGACTTCAAGAGGCTGGAAGTGGAATGAAGCTTGCCTCAGATGGTGGTACCAGCGAGTGCGTCTTGCAAAGGAATAGCAACAACGCTCAAGTCGCAGGTGTAAACGGAGCTCTTGAACCCATCTCTTGGTTCCTGCCTACAGAACGTAAAGAGTACATGCTAGACAAGCCAAAGAGTCTCACATGCCCTCGTGCAGATAAGCCACTCAGCGACCTGACCTCAGGTGCGCGCGATTTCGCACTTAGACCATCAGCATGTGGCGTGTATGCAGCAAGACAGCGCTTTACTTGAAACTGCGGCCTCTTATCGCACCAGTGTCAGAATGAGTCTAATCAGCATAATAATTATAAATACAACTATAAAGCCAACTACCAAAAAGGGAGGGCCTAAGTAAACAATTTCTCTGCCTCTCCTGGTAGTCCTACTGCTGCATACCACGGGGATGTGGCTGACCAGCAGTGGGCAGCACAGCGGCATCAGAAACAGCAGCAGCAGCAGCAGTATCAGATGTAAGGATTGTAGAGCCAGCAGTAGTACTAGGAGGAGTAGCAGCAGAAAAGAACTACAAAAAAAGGAGATGTGCAGCAACAATAGCACCATCAGTGGTCTCGAGAGGCTCTTTGATTTGTTGGGGGTTCTACACTGATGTCCCTGAAGTCTTATCGTCGCTCTGGTTGGACTATGGGGATTGTGTTCGTGTTTTGCCCCAAGCATAGAAGAACAAACCATTATATATAATTTAAGAATACTTCGACGAGGGATTGCGGGCATAATGTGTTGTACCTATGTTCGGAAACTCTCCGGGCGAGAATTTCTTATTCATGCGAACTTAGCAGCCGTGGGAAAGCTCAGGCTTGCACCACTTTCCAGTTACCGCGGTACTCCCTCAGCTCCTCGAACTCATCCAGAAAGTTGATTGCCACCAGGATCAGTGACAGAACAACCTTGGGAAATAGCAGCCGGAGGAGACCTACAAACAAGGATGCCCACAACAAAAATGTACAGCAGAAGCAGAATTTTATTGCTGCTTGACGTCTTCATTTCCTGAGATGCAGACACATGCGTAGAGACCCGCTCTCCCAGAGATCTTGCCAGAGAAGTACAGGGACATCCCAGCGAAGAGCAGCTGTGCACCAACTTGTACCTGCTCTCAACATGCACCCATCTTCATCATGATGCATGAACTGGCGGAAACATGCTAGCAAAAGACTTATGTTGTATGGTGCTCCTCTGGTAATGGGTGATTCCTGACGCCCCAAGCTAAGCAATGCAACCGTAGAGCCTCAACGTACATTATAGTGCCGGTATAGAACGTGTAGTGCCTCCAGGGCCTTCGGGGAACACTCCTTTACAGTGCCCTTAGGGGAAAGCTAAAGAAGACACGACCGAGCCTTCCAAATCGCGTTCAGCTGCGCCTTTCCCGGTGGCGCGGGAGGCTCTTTGTGCAGCAGACGCTGGATCGTCGCCACCAGCAGCAGAATACCGAAACCTTCGGATTAAGGGTTGAGGGTGTGGGGCTCTGCGGCTCAGGGTTTAAGATCCTCGGGATGTGATGATTTAGGATCCAGGCGATGGGCAGTGACACCGAACGTAGCCCACATCACTGAAGAACCACGGGCAGTGCCTCAAAAGGCTCCAAAAGGTCGAACATGGAGAAGCACAACAAGATGTTAACCAGTGTGTGCTGAAACTGCTTCTTATTGCTCGAATGTGCCTCTGCAAGGTAGAGAAAGCTTCACCGCATCCAATACACAACAACGTTAAGCTGATCTAGATCGACCTGGCACTATACGGGTGCCACGAGTGCTTCCCCGCCATGCAGAGGGACAAGTTGGCCGGAAACTGTCACCGTTCAAGGAGGCGCCAGAGGCGTGCCAAGGGATCAAACATGGGCAACAACATGGCCTTGGCTCAGGTCGCGCCCTGCTCTGCGGTTTGCAGCTGCCCCGGCATCCCCGTAATCCTTCGGGCCGTTATTTGTCGTTTTATCACCAGTTCTGCGAGTACGCATGCTTAAAGATGTTGTCATGCCAGAACTAGTAGTAGTACCAATAAGTATTCGTAAGTCACTCGTGGCTTATGGTTTGAAGACTTCTAATGCGTTGGTCGAAATACCGATGGGCTCAATCGTGAATGGCTGCGGTCTTGCTTAGTGGCTAAGAGGTTCAAGTTCAGAGACCTAGGCATCCAGGCCGGGAGTCCTCAACCTTTTTATTGTTTGTAACCAGACTTTTCATACGAAATCAGAAGTTGTCTAGTCTGTTGCAAGCTTCTGTCTATGGAGGTCTACGTTGTGCATTCTCTCTCTCTCTACACACACACGCAGTTTTGGTTCTCTGGCTCTCCCTCTCCCTCCACGTACAAACAAACAACCACGTAGTAAATCTTGTGGGTGCTCGCATACGTACGTACAGACAGACAGGCAAACAGACCGATACGAACGAACATGCTCACAGACATGGACACTTTTTGCTGCAGGCATGGCTCGTAGTGGCCTGCTATCTAAACTGTTGTGCATGCTTTTCTTGAGGTACGCTTGGAACCCCTTCCGGAATCTCACCACACACTCTATAATGAGACAGTCTTAGGATTCCTCTGCTGTCGACACCGTCCGCGACCTCGTACGTGGATGGAAACTGGAAAACAGCATGCTCCTTGAACTCTTGATCTACGACCAGGAAGGCACCAGCAGCCATCATCATAACCTGGTCACGACAGCCACACTCACACAAGCCTCTGTCAGACAAGACACTGCCAGGTATCGATTGCTCGCGTTGATCACGACTTGCTTATGCAAGCGCGCCTATAGGCACCCTTTGCCCAAAAGTTTGGGCAGCTGATCTCCGAAAGCCGCTTGGGGGTGTTCAGAAAATCAGGGGCCGTACCATAAACCTTAAATGCTCAGATACTAGAATCAGCATACTGAGGCCCCTGTGATAAGGTAGTTTGAAACCCCTACAGGCATTTTTGCAACAACGACATGATAACACCTCCTCTTAATTTTGATAAACCTCCGTAACGAGCGACTGTCAATATTTGCCCCCGAACGCCCTTGGCTTTGGGCCTAGAGGGCAACAGGTTTTCTGCAGCCGAACCAAGCCATGGAGGTGTTGAGGATGTATCCAAGGCCCTCTTGGAGGATTAGTAGGCTTCTACAAGGGCGTTTTCTCATATGAGAAACTTGGGAGTAGAGTTTCGCTTCAAACTCTAATCTTACTTCCCCTTAATTGCATGGTTGCCGATGCATGCACGAACAACAGATTTCTGCAAGTCAACGCGTCCTAGATTGCAGACGTCTACTGGCTGATCGACCTGCTTCTATGCAGGTGCATCATACCCCGCTACCTAAGCCAATGCAAATCGTGACGATTTGCCAAAACACAATTACATTGCAGAAAAACTAACTTGAACGACAAGCACTCCGAAAAGAGATATGCCTGCTTGAATTACTTAATCTCTTCCGAACTTGAAAGCACCCCAAACCTATGCAGAACCTTGAACATATGTATACACACATGGCTGTATATATATATATATATGCGTGAATGTACGTATATTCCTATATGTACAGATAGAGAGAGGGATAGAAAGAAAGATAGTTAGATAGATAGATAGATAAACCGATAGATCGATAGATCGATAGATGGGTAGATGGATAGATGGATAGATAGGTAGACAGCGGACAGACAAATAGACAGATAGATAGATAGACCGATAGATAAAAAGGTTGATAGATAGACACATGGATAGATAGATAGATCCATAGATCGATAAACAGATAGATCGATCGATAGAAAGACACATAGACATGTAGATGACCAAGTCGACCAAGTTAGGTGGGCTAGATGTTGAAACTTCCCTGATTGATTCAAGGCTCCCCAGCCATGGCCACTGGGATCAGCGCAAGGAAGGTCGTGGGACGCAAAGGCGTCTGAGTGCCTCAGTTAGGGTTTTTTTGCACGACCCTTTTCCTCTCGCAGGTGTCCAACAAGACGTCAGTTAGGGTTTAGGTTTCAAGGGTGTTAGGGTTTAGGGAATACCTCACTGTCAGTAATAAGTCATCAAAAAATAATGCCAACCAATGAAGCATACTCATTGCAATAGCATCACCATGTTCTCCATTATTTCCGGTTGATAAGCAGGTGCCCAAATGAAAATGTCACAAGGGGGGTCGCCACTGAAGAATCTAGTTTGGGTTATCTGCAACTTCCTTGAGGAATCCAACCTGCAGTGTTTGACAGGTCATATATATATATATATATTTATCTATTTATAGGGGCCTTGATAATAAGAATACGGTTTTGGGGCCCTTTATACAGAAGCCCCAAAATATGTTCGTCATTTTTTGTTTATGCCTCTATGTTACTCAAGTGCAAGCTGGGTGCAGCGGATGGCGTGCCACTGGGTGTCCTCAGACGCAAGGATGCTCTACAGGCTGCCCTTTGCGCGAAGTGGCGACCCGGCTCATAACTGGGAGATGGTGGGGGGGCGGGATCCGAAAAAAGGGGGCCCCAAAAAAAAGCACCCGAAAAAAAGTAGGATCCTTATGGGTGGAAGCCTAGTATAGTACCCTAGTAGTAGGGTCCTCAATATAAGGACCCCAAAATAAGGTACCCAATATTAGGTACTGTTTGATCGCCTCCTACGATGCCTCCTCAGTCAAAGCTACCAAACTCTGCGGGAGTGCAAGAGACCCAGCTGATGCTAGCAAGCTGTGAGAATTTAAGACAACATAGAGAACACCTGACTCCAATTGTCGTTAACGACATATCCCCAATAGGATATCCTATCGGGAATAAAAACGCCCGGCGTCTTCATCATCTTTTACGCTCGGAAAATCATGCTGTTTACCCGATCTGTCCGAGCATCTGCTACATGAACGTCGTAAAGCAGGATCTTGATGAGCATGACGAGCCTCGCTTGTTTCTGCTCAGGCTACTTTTTCAAGACCGTTCATGTTTAATTACGACATTTTCAGGAGAACGCCCCGCACGAAGGAGCTTCGGATTCTAAGGCGGAGGCAGGAATGAAGCCACAACGTCCCAGAAGCGAACGTGCCCCACTTCAGCCTCGCCTGCAAGGACCAAGGCGTGGGCCTCTATTCAAAACTATACATCCAATCGTGGGTCTCTGGAATAGAAAGAAGCACCCGAACAACTCTGCATCCTTGCGCTTGCCTGGCCGAACTCCGTTTGTAATGAACTTCCCCAACAAGGCCTGCCAGCCAAGAGCATGTTGACGTCACACGTTGCTTCTGCAGTGCACTGATCAATAGCACATGGCCAAGCGCGCGGCTAGAGTTGTGATCATGACGGTCTGGGAACGACCTCCCGCAGATCTGGCAAACAGATTCTGGTCTGTCAGTATGTGCTTTTTTGGCTGACAGCATTCTGAGGCTCAAACCAATGTAGTCCTTTGCATTTCTCTGTCTGGTGGTGGAGCCAGGGTCATGCAACGACCGCCCATAAGTCCTGATCTTGAGATTCCGAGCGTTGCAATCGCAGCTCTGCTACAATATGCCGCAGTGAGAGCACACAACTGTCCGCATGTGCCTGCACGTCTCATGACTGACTGCAACAAGCTTCCCCATGCAAAGCAACCAAGGTGTACATGCACACATCCGGTACACTTGAGTTTTCGAAAATTGAGTGGCCCCCAGCAAACAGCCTGCTAGCAAGATCCTTCTTCCAGTCGGAGCCACAAAATCCCTAATGTAGAGCTCTGTAAAAGGACTCGCTCTTGTGTAAACCCCTGAAGCATTCTAGATATTATAGACACCTTACCATAGGAATCTCTGTAAAACGCCCAAGCCCATTCGAGGCCTTAGGCTAGCTGGCCCCCAAAGACTGAAAGAACAAACGGATCTCGGTCCTCGGAAAGAACAAGGCACAAGCCAACCAAGAAATCACCTCCAAGCACGGCAGGATTATGGAAGCCAACAAGGCACCAAGACGTTTCACGATTTGGAATTCAGGGTTGAGGGCGTAGGTTTCGAAAGGTTGTGACAGTGCGGTTTAGGGGCAACAGTTCGTCAGCATGGAAACGCCCACAAGGAAATGCTAACGGTAGTGCGAACCCCCGTCTGCAGGGTCCATGACACTTGGGTTACGCTTTGGGAGTATAATATTGCAGCGGAGTTGTATCGGGACATATATACATATATAATGCTTTGTTTCCACCCTGTGACTGCACTAAACCCCTGAAAACCCTAAAGAACCAAAGCCTCAGCCCTGAGTGCTGCATAACACCTATTACAAAACCCTTAGCAGCAAGCCGCAACGGCTGACGAGCCTGCCTAAGGCCGCCCTGGAAGCAACCCTTAGAACCCTTACAGGACCCCTTTTAGCAGAGAACCCTTAGAGAAACCTCGTAGAACCCTTGAAGGAAACCCTATTCTGATGCTTACCTGCCTGGCATCGCCCTTCAGGGCTGCGGCCGGCCCAGATGTAGAGGCTCGCGCTCGCCGCGTTCAAGGCCAAATGGAACGTCGCAAAACCGCCTCCAGGGCTTAGGCCAATTATTCTTTTTTCGGTTTACGGTTTAGGGTATAGGCACCTCCCAGGCTTAGGTCAGGTAGGGGTCCTGTGCAAAAGAGACCTAGGGGCCTGGGTTAGTTACAGGTTCATAGAAGCAGGGTTTTAAAAAGAGGGCCATTGGTTAGCTAAGGATTCCCATTCAAGCAGGGTTTAGGGTTTAGGGTTTAGGGTTTAGGGTTAGCTAAGGATTCCCATTCAAGCAGGGGTTACAGGGCTTTGGGTTTAGCACTGCAGGCTTTGGCACGAGATCTCGGACAATCCAGGTAAGGACACGCAACGCAAGTTTCGGATGCAGGGAATCAGGGACTTGGGATTATAGGGATCCAACTCTCAAACTCGGACATAACCAGACATTTGCCTTTTGCAATGGGGTTAAGAAAAAAATTGGTGTTAAAATTAAGGTCTATCGGGGTTTCAGGGTTAGGGCTTTGGGGGTTTAGGACTTTTTGGGCGGCAGACTTGCGGCTTAACAGTGCGGCCAGAAAAAGTGCCCGGACATCGAAGCTCTTGGGGTCTAATATTATTTTGGCTCTCGCAGGGTCTGATACTAATACTCTCTACAGAACGATACACCCCCCACACTATACACCTGTCTAATTGTTGGTCATTTATTGAGCATTAAACGGCGAGCCAAGATGCGGCAAGCTGGCAGCCAGTAGCCCACTCGAGCGTGCATCATGCCAAGTCTCGGCTGCGAGCGGGGCTATGGGTTTAGGTTTCGGGTTTGGAGCTTAGGGTCAATTGCACCAACAACTGCCACAGGTCATAACAGGCCAGCACATGTCTAGACAGCTGCTAAATGCAACGAGTTCGCAGACAGTAGCAGGTGGCGAGAGCATTGAAATACAGTCTACGTGTATCCGCATCTTCGACGAGGATATCTCCTGCGGGCGGATCACTGGGGGAGGACATGAGCACGATCGCAAGCCTGCTCATGCACATGGTCCTTTCATGGAGATTCCGACAGCGCGCGGCGCCGGTGGTAGTCCCAACTTGGAAACCCGAAACCCCTCAGAACCTAACACAGACCCTACAAAGAATGGCGCCTTATTAACGCAACGAAGGATTTACCACACCAGTGGCCTTCCGATTCAACTGCCCTATACTATACAATCTCCCCCCGGAACTTGAGGAACCCTTCCTCAACCCCGAAAGATACCGAGCTCACGAGCCTGTAAAGTTGATGTCCATGAAGAAGATACTCATGGCCAGCCTGACTCAACAAAAATGGAGGGATTGTGGGTGCAGGGTGTGGGCCTCCTTGAAATCAAGCTTAGGATTCAGAGAGGGTTTAGGGTTTAGGGTTGCAGCACTCGCTCTCGGACATAGGGTTTAGGATTCAGAGTCTAGGGCTTCAAAAACCAATCAAGCCACAGAGGGGTGCCGGCAGCCGCAATAAGAAAGAGATGCTGGGTACAGTAGGTGTGAACCTATCGTGAAAGAGCCGGAGCTGATCCTGACAGCAGTCAGACCAACAAGATACTGTTGATGGACAAATTTATGCATGACCCAAATATAGTATAGTACCATAAATCCCAGAGTTTAGGTATATAAGGTCATGCAGGATTTCGTCCATCAGCCGTATGTCAGAAGCTAATGTAGGGGCCTTAATAGTTAGAAAAGGGTTTTGGGGCCCAGCATACTATAATTTAGCCAGGAAAGGGATCGGAGTTTCGATGCCGGCCCCTCACTGAACTAAGGTCTGTTCTAGTCCGACCGTCTGGAATCTCACGAATCACGAAAGCCGCAGAAATCTAGGGGAGCGTAGAATGACGTACTGCATGCAACGAGCACGTAGGTGTGCGCATTCTCAGCCTAAACGTCGAGGGTTCAACAGCTGAGAAGGGTGTGAACGATTAGTAATAACATCCCCTTGCAGGTTAAATATGGCTATTCGAAAATATACCCCAAGATCCCGCTCTAATTACCAAGGGCCATACTTAAGACACGATCCAAAGCGCGACAAGCCCCTCACAAAACCATGCAAAAATGCTTTCGGCTCTTCATGGAAACCCCATCTTTCTGCAACTCCGTGGCATCATGTAGAAGAGCCGGTGATCCGACCCGTCGGCGCTGAAACGTGTAGACTGAGCAGGCCAACATGTGAAAGCACGCGATACTATCTTGCACAGGGGGTTTATCTGGAGGGTTGGAGTAAGCTATAAAGTGTGTGCATGTGTATTAACTATAAGTATACATCTGTATATTTGTGTTTTGTGTTTATACACATACATAACTATATAACTATACTTGTGTACAAAAAACGTGTAGGGACTTTGCAGGTTATTCAGACCATAAATCAGAGGCTTTTGGTGGTATTGCTGCAGGATCTAGGCCTTTGCAGATGTCTGCACAAATGCTACGCCCTAGCTACTATGCTTATGTTACAGTACTTACTATACTGCACATGATCTGATGCCGTCGGTTGTTGATGATCTTATGCAGCAACTGCGCCCGACTTCACGCGACACCCGCCATTCCATTCTGGCTAACATGTCGCGCCTGGCCTGAAGGCAGCTCAAGCCTTCCTGCATACGCCACATACGGAAACCCAAATGGGAGTTTCCGAAAATAGGGGACCCTAGTGTAAGATCCTTTTTATAAAGACCCCAGAATAAGGTACAGTACCCGAATTTTCGGAAACTCTCAAATGGTTTCGAAGCTCTCCGATTGACGAAGCAAGTCTAGCGGGCATCCCAGGTCAAGTGGCGTATTCGGCTGCAGCAGCATAGAGGCTCCTCAGCTTGTACAAGCCAAGGTGCCGGTCGTTGAGGATCAGTTTGTTAGGGCTTCTCGGGATTCGGGAATTTAGGGTCAGGGAGTGTAGCGGTTCAGCAGGGGCCAGCAACTGAAATCATTCCAAAGCCAAGGTGCCAGTAGGTAAACAATGACAATAGCAAGCTCGAGAACATGCAGCTGTCGGCGAAATGCTTGATCGTGCTTGCCTGAATCATTCAAAGAGGCTGAGGAACGAATTGCATGACTTCCTAGCCAGTATTGACGGTGTGCTAGTGCATCTGAGCCACCATGGACGAACCAAAGAAAATCCAGCAAAAGGCCTCCTGCTTGCTGACCTGAAGTCGAAGTGGCATTAACCGAATCTCGCAGTTCGGGTTTTGGGAAGGTTTAGGATCGGCCGAGGATCGAGATGCCCTCTAAAACTCTTAGTCACTCTCTAGACTCGTGATGAAAGAAGTGCTGCCATGCGTCTCCTCTGGAGTCATCATGCGCTCGTAGCTTGGGCTTATCCCACTTCAGCCGTCTCCTTTGCTGCTGCGGAATGAAGAAGACTATACATACAAATAAAGCTACATGTGCATATGCATGTATGTATACATATGGACTATACACAAAACCACAGATGTTCGTGTTGAATCACACTTACAAACAACAAAAACATGCGCACAAAGATTATACAGTACAAAGCATTGCGGCTGGGCGACGCCGAATCGCGCAAGTGCAGCACTTCCAGGTGATCGTCTCCGCCTCAGGGCGCTGCCCGGAGTTCCGGGGACTTACGGGTTGATTCATAGGTAGTGATAAGAAGGGGTCATAACTAGCTTCTATTTGGTACTAAATACTTCTACGAACTGAATCAAGGTAATCAAGGGAGCGAGGGAGACAGCTCCAAGATCCCTGGAATAGGCCATATAATTTTTCGAGTGGGATAGGGTTCATTGAGCAGGCAAAGCTTCCTCACGATACCGTGGGAGGCGGACAATTGAAACTTGTGTGATGCATCCTTCAAATCGACTAGCAAGCAGGTTCCTGCACAAGGGGCTCGAACCTGCGGGTCGAGCTGAGGGCGGCCATGGATTGATCGAGCAGCTCTGGCTTCTAGTAAAGACGGTTCAAAGTTCCGCAAACCTGTATGATATCCATGCAGCCATCCCTCCCTCCACCCATCCATCCATGCATCCTTCTCTCTTTCCATCCCTCCCTCCCCCCACCCACACGCATAATGCAACCATGCATCACCTTACATCCTTACCAGCCCTGCATCCTCCATCCATCCATCCATCCCATACGAACAGACTCTTAATAAATACCGACAGGCAGACATAGAAACTCAACACAGACAGGGACGAAGACAAACAGCTGGACAGACAGAAACAAAAAAACTCAAGCAAACATGCGCACATACAAGCATGAGCAGTATTGTTAGCAACCAGACCAGCCTATATCTATGTGCCTTTATGGTGCATATATGTGCGTGTAGGCTTGTCTGTAAGTAAGTATGTATGTATGCATGTATGTATGTGGTATGTGTATATAGACATGTACGTATACATGTATATACACACATCTGGTGAAACACATATCTCATTGCAGATCAGAGGCTGGCTTCGGAGCCTTTGGGCGAAGTCATTTGCTCTTCAAATCGGCGGCTGCCAGAGCAAAGGCCCCCAGAACCCGTGCGAATCAACGAATGGGTATGATGCCAGGTGGATCAGTTTTGGACTTCTGCGTAACACCGTTCACCACATTTGCGGCCTACACCGCCTATACCCCTCCAAAAACACGGACCGCTGTGGCATGTATATCCAGAGAAGATGCTGCCATGTGCTTGAGGACTCAGCTCTGGAAGCAGGCAAGAGCTAGAGGAAGCTTCAAGGAGTTTATGCCAGCACCCTCTCAAGGCTGTGAATGGAACGACTGGCCGCCACCCAGAAGGCCTTTATCTCGAATCACTATGGCGTCGAGCTACTGTGCCGGAAGGCTCTGATAAATGAACCACTGGCACCTACAAACTACCTTAAGTCCTGAGAAACAGCGGACCGTTCGTGTGGGCCCCGCAGGCGTCACAGGCCGTGCCCATTCTTGCACAGCTCATTCCCCGGATGCTTGGCGCCTGTATCAGTATCTGAGTTGCCTTCATCTTCTTATGCTAAGATTTTCATGGGGTAAGTTCAGTTACCACGCTTAAAGCGTAGGTTTGATTACGCCCTTTTTGAGCTGGACTCCAAGAAAGGGCGCCGCCTGTCGTTCGTTAGCAGTTGTGGCGCCGACGGCATTTTTGCCTCCCACCGCATTGCAGGGTTCTGGCGCCGACGGCTGAATACAGGGGCTTGAACAAATTAAATCGGGTAGGGACAGGTATTGATTTTGGCTTTTCTACAGTCATACATGGACTACAAGGGAATGCAATGACCACTTATTCAAACCCCCATATTAATCCAGCTCATTCAAGGGCACCACCCGACGCTCGCGCGATGCCTTGCAGACTGCCTTAATGGCTTCCTGAGCGGCAGACTGCTTCGCAGCCTTCTTGTTCGCGCCGAACTGGCCTTCCACCCTCATCCCGCACAGCGTCACCTCGCAAACGAAGCCGCCATCTGGGTGTGTCCAATCCTTGTAGCAGAGAGGTTGCAGCTCCCGGTCGCTGGGGCGCATTTGTGCTTGCACTGCCAAATTGAGCCTTAGCTGTTTGTCTTCGTCCCAACCAAGGGTGCGCAACATCACATTACTCCGATTCGCTTGCTGTTGTACCAAATGGACAACAACTAAACAGCTGTCAGAGCGAAAGCACGATGACACCTCAGAAGCGTCATCCAACAGCAAAAACCCAAGTCGAGGAGCAAGGATATGGGATCATGTGAAGATTCTGCCTTCGGATTCTTGACCAGATAGTCTCCAATGCATCGCAACAGCTGCAATTCCACGGCGCTCTGCCGAGGAATGGCCTCTCAGGGCAAAAGCTACGAAGTTGAGGGGCTCCGAGTTCAGCAACTGCCGAGCTGCGGTTCCATGAAACCGAAGAAGAACCTTCAGCCAAAACCCGAAGCCAAATAGATTTCTAAAGCCCAAACCCACAACGCCAAACCCGAAAATCCTAATCCTAAACCTCGAAGCACAGCTGCGCTCAGACTCAGAAAATTGGCCATGCCAAAACAGCCTGGGAAGACTCTGGGAGGCCCTATGAACGTATGAGCCGTCTTTGCATTTAGGGTTTAGGGTTTAGGGTTTCGGGCTTAGGGTTTAGGGTTTAGTCAGGGTTTAGGGTTTGGGGCTTAGGGTCTCTAGGGCCTTCCTTCTTGCCCAGAAAACCTCGAGAGCTCAATACCTCAGAGCGACGGAAGACACGTACTTTACGTTACCATGGGGCCGCTTGTGGCGTTCCTTGGCTTCAGGGTGTTCAGGCCTCCAGAGAGGATTATATCAATAGGTTTACCTAGACTGAACATGAAAAAAACCACTCTTATATAGGAACACCCAGCACGCCTTTTTTACCGGTCTTGCCTCGTCGGCCGTCGCGCCTAAACCCTGAAACCCCCCCAAAGCCCAACATCCCAAAATCCACAAAACTCATACACCCCGAAGCCCCCAAGCCCCTCGGCCCCGAAATCCCTCAATTCCCTAAAAACCCTAAACCACTAAACCCCTAAACCCCTAAACCCTAAACCTTGATCCC